CACGGATTTGTTCACTTAAGACTTACCTCACACCACGGATTTGTTCACTTAAGACTTACCTCACACCACGGATTTGTTCACTTAAGGCTTACCGCACACCACGGATTTGTTCATTTAGGGCAGGGGTGGGGAACCTGATCCATGGACGGCCAGTGTGGGTGCAGGTTTTTGGGACAGCCTCTCAATCAGCCAATAATAAAGCAGTGGTTTTCAACTCCAATCTTGGGGACCCTCTGTTATTCGCTGATTCAGAGGCCATCCCAAAAATCTGCACCCACACTGGCCCTCCATGGAACAGGTTCCCCACCCCTGATTTAGGACTTACCTCAGACCACGGATTTGTTCATTTAGGGATTTCCTTACAAAATAGATTTATTTAGGCTTTTAAAAATGTGTGTAAATTTTTATCACCAGTTTTAATATACAGTATAATGTAATATCTGATAGGATGATATATATATATATATATATATATATATATATATATATATATATATATATATATATATATATATATATATATATATATATATATATATATATATATATATATGTTTACACACAAACATACACACGTCGGGTAAACATATCTCATTTCATTTCTATAGGAAAAATTATATTGCTAACTATGACAACCCTATCCCCAACCCAAGCCTACCCATAACCATAAATAACCAAGCAAAATACAGGAGTTTTTGCATTTTTAGTTTCATTTAGTTTTCATTGCAGTGATAGATTTTTATTAAAATTAGTTTTCTCTTATGGGGACCAGTTTTCCCATAAGGAAAAAGAAATGGGTATTCATCATGTTGTGGGGACATTGTGCCCACATAAGGTAAGGTATACCCACACACACACACACACACACACACACACACACACACACACACACACACCCTGTATGCGCATTATGACGTTTTATGGTAATTGGCATATGTACATGACTTTCAACAGGCTCGGCATGCACCCCAGCCCGGCTGCCATACTCGGTCTCACGTGCCCCTTGTCGTAATTGAATGTGATTCGAATTGTTGTGGCTTCTTGGCGATATACAGCCTGGCCGAGGCTGAATGATTGCAGCTGTAGAGTGAGAGAAGTCCCTCCTTGTATTTATTGTGCAGGTATTGATGAGCCGTCCCCTCGATTGGCTCTGATCTCTGGCATAGCTGCAGCACGATGTGCATCTCGACTCATGGCATGGTTTCTGTGGCCTCGCGTTTACGCTGATTCATCTTCAAGAAGTGAGATTGCATTTCTTTATGAAGTCCTGGTGTAATACAGGATCTTCACTGTCACTGCTAATGTCTGCTTATGACACGTCACACTCAGACTAACTTCACAGAATACCCGTCTAACAATTTGAACAGTAGGTCCATTCCTAAAGAGTGTTTCAGGTTAAAAGTTCTGTATCCATGCAGACTTGTGGTGATGAGCTTGGTCCTTTGTTATATCACGTAATGGCACTTTGGCTGATTAAAAAACAGAATCTCTCAGAGAAGGCTAACAGGACTCATCGCCTAGCCTGAAATGCCAGGAACTGCGCTAACGTCTTGATGCAGCATCCCGTAACCACCTCTACGGGGAGCCATGTGCTGACCACACAGCTTGGCAGCTTGCTGGCCGTTTCAGGGTCTTTCTGCTGCACACATACCTGTCTACATGTCCACGGTTCCTCACAAACTTTTAGAAGCTGTGATCATTATGGTGGACATGCAACTTTGTTTTCAAAACCACTAGCCCTCATGTGACTGGCAGGCTAACAGCAAACACCCGATAACATATTTGGATATTACACTCACTGCAGAAACCATATCAGCTGGCCCTGAACTTTTGTGATTAATACTGCAGTTTTGACATTCCTCACTACTACTTTACTTTCTGCCTCATGTATCCCCCACTACCTGCATGTCTCCTGGTGTCTTTTACATTGCACCATATTCGAATATATCCTCCTGAGACCCCACCTATTCATTTATGTCCATTGTTTTCACTGATGTAAAGAAACGTATTTATTCCTGTTGTACACTAAAGAGGACATGCTGTGAAATTAAAAATAAAAATAAATTTGAAAAAATCTAAATTGTAAGATGTCTTGTTTCCTCCAAAGACAAATAACCTAAAATTGAAGGACACTTCTTTCCTTGGGTCTCAGGAGGTTAAATCTTTGCAGGAACCCAGCAATTCCAACGCCATCTTTAAAACCTCCTTTCCCCTGTCACTGGTTGCCTTGGAAAAAGTCATTCTAATCATGGTAAACACAGATGGCTTGAGCATTGGTTTTCGTTGAATGGATCATTTCTGAACTTCCTTCTCAGCAAAGCCACGCCTATGATAATACACACACACTCACACACAGGCAGACAGACCTGTGCACACAATGCAGACACAGTTACCTACAAGTGAACATGCGTGCACCATCACAAACACGCAGAGCATTGTAACTGCCGGAAAGAACCACCATGGATTTAATACCACACAGAATCACAGGAAATCAAGATGAGCTCCAAGAAATTGCCCTGAATGCACAGCTGCCACCGAAGAGAACATCTCCCATGTATTGTAAGACATAACACTTTTATTAAATACACTGTATTACAAGAGACTTTTCCATTTAATTGGAGAAGCTGATCACATGGTACACAAATAATAATCATCATTATATAGTGACACTGTGGCATATGAATCAGCCAGGATGCATGTTTCTGCCTGCCACACACCAAACAGTGAGAAAAGCCAGCACAAAGACTAAGGATACAGCGCTTGGAACCTTCTATGGATGGACAAGTAATGCCTTTCAGAGTCCCGTGAGAGTGTGTTTCAGTCATTAAAAAAGGAACCTAACACAATATACAGATACATTCAAAAGAAGAGATTGTTCATTATGCGGAGTCACAGTTTTTTTTTTTATTTTAAGGAGAAACTCAAAGAAACGATAAAAAAGGTTTGGCCTTCAGTGGGGGTGTCCACTGCGGAGCCTCTCCCACCCTCTTGTGCCCCCTCCCTCGGGCAATGTGAGGGTACAGCATATGGGGGGGCTGTCTTGGTTTCCCATTGCTGCCGAGGCCACAAGCGGAGACATGACACAAGTTTTTATTTACTTTTATTTTTTGGAGGGGGGTCATCTCCACAGGGCCCCTCAAAGGAAAACAAAAAAATCATTCGAAGCAGATTTTTTTTTATTCATATAGGGAAGCTTGTCCCCTTTCAGTTTGTTGATAGTTCTACATATTGAATTGCGAATTTTATATATATATATATATATATTTATTTTTTTTTCTTTACAGATGGAAAATGCAGTTGGGCACCAGCTTGCTAGCAGTCCCACACTCCCCAGCCTGTTAGAATTACCATCGCTCTCCAGCAACAGGCATCTTGCATGAGATAGACAGCCCCCCCCACTGCTAACCAGCACATGACTGAGTGAATACGTGACGCCAAACGCTCTAGAGCCATGGTGAGGAGATGGGCTGCATTTCCACGGATGCCGGATTTCCTCATCAGAATGTTCTGCCTTATTTCCAATCGATTTTCCACTATAACAACATCAATCCTGTTCATGACCATTAATCATGATCACATTAAGAAAAAAAAAATTTAAATGCATTATTCGCAAACAAAGTCTTATGTCCACTTGGTAAAGATTCAGCTTGTCTCTGGACATGTAGGCACCGATACTTTAAGAGGAGACAATTGGTACTTAGGACTGTAATGGGTAACATTATCATAATCGTGGATAAATATGGCTGCCACTATAAATGGAAAGATGAGAAGCACGGAGATGGCGTTGTGTCCGGGGCCGTGCCTCAGCAGCGTTCAGAAGCCTCTTTGCTGCCTTCCTGAGCGAAGGCATGGTGTTCAGTCATGGCCAGGTGTCCGCTGGGGGCTCAGAGGTGATGGGGAACCTGGCTGAGTATCTACAGATGCTCTATGCAGGTCACATGATCTCGGGGTTTGGCTCGTCACGCTCACGGGACCCTCACAAGCTGACCGACGCAGGGAGCTGCCTGTCCTGGGAGCTCAGTTATTTTTACTTCACTCTATCGAGCCCCACGCGCTTGACAAAAGGTAGACAGATGTGCCTGTGAACCTCATCACAGTCAGGATGGATGAGATTATTAAAAAAAGAATCCCCATTATCTGCTGCTCAGATCCTCGGTGAGAAGTCCTCCTTCAGGATCCTCCGGTCCTCCAGGTCTCGGACAGCACGGATACGCCGGGCATCCTCTTGGAGGTTGTCCACATTCACCGTGTCCCACTCTGCTCCCGGACTCTCCACCGAATGCGCCGGCGCCATAGACTGCCTGTCACACCACAGTGGCGAGGGCTTCTCTATGTTCTCTCGACGTGCAGGTCAATGTAAAAAAGGGAAAACGGCTTTGATTGTCATTACTTGTCATTGCTACGACAGTCTGTAATGGAGTGCGCATTCCTCCATCTGCCTGCAGGGGGCTTAGCGGGGGAGCTGTGTTCCATCTTTGCCGCAACAGGGGGCAAGGAGGGGGTGGGGGACAAAGCGTTCACCGTGATGCTATGTGGCTGCGCCTGGGAGTGACGGGGTCTGCTCCCCCCCCCCCCACTTCTTCCGCTCCCCCGTGACGCATGTAGTTTGAGGCGTTTCTGTGTCGTGATCGCACGAGGACGCTGCCGCTAACATCACTCAAACGTTCTGCCTTGGTGGCCGGCTTCGCTGTGATTGACCTCAGTCAATACAGAAGATCGCACAGTGGGTTCAAGACAAATTTAATACTCTGGAATGTCAGTTTCCATGGATTACCTGAACCCCTGGATTAAGTCAAGAGCAAACAACTAAGAAATCAGTGAAACAAAACCTGCGTTTTTGTTCAAGCAAGGACAACACTGTTCCAGACAAAAAAAAATGTAAAAGTGCTTCAAGTCAAATAAATTAAGTATAAAAATAGACTATCAAAAAGAACTTGTCAAATTAACACTGGTTTACTAAGACTATAACCACCAGAAGACATAAACTTATAAATACTGAAAAAAAATATGAAAGAATGATATTAAAAAGTACAATTTGTTACAATGGCCATAACCATCCAGGAGACAAATGCTGAGAGTTTGGGTCTTTCCACTGAATGGGACTCCATGTTAATTCCCAGATCTCACCTTTCCGCTCTCATTTCACAGAGTATGCTCTACACATCTGTACGAAGATGCGTGCAACACGCCTGGCCTCAACTGTTTGGTGGGGCCTCTTCAACTGCTTCACTGGTCAAAGTGCTGAAAGACCAGCATTCCAAAAGGTACAAATCAAACTGTAATAAATCTGATCTCCAAGCCTCTGGAGAGATTCAGTGCAGAGTCTCTTTTCCCCGTAAAACAATAAATCTTAAATGTCCATGTTGCAGAGTTTCTATCACCCCATCAAATGTGTGCTTTGCTAATGGTCTGCATTAGTCTCCTTAATGAAATATACATTACACCATTACGGGGAGCCTGCTCTGTTCTTAAACGGCTACATTACTCAAGTAGTGAAAAAAAACATGCAAAATTCAATTTTGCGCCCACAAAATACTGTAAGGGGCATTAGCATCCGCAGCCACGGCCGTGATAAGCACACGTTTTTGGGCGATTTGTCAGGGCATTTACATCCCTGCAGTAAGGAAGTCCCTCACCCCCAGAGCCAACCCTGAAATAAATATGTGCATTAGAGTGCAAAATGATTGTTCAAGAATGTTGCCCCCCCCCCCCACCCCCAAGTGAGAAATGACGATGCTTCCCGGTGCAGTGACTCAACACTTTTCCCCTGGTTTTGTCAATTACATTTCATTGCACAAACGAAAGCTCTGGATAGGAGATCCGAAAGTTAAAAAAAGAGAAAGCAGTACTTTGGGTGAGTATGACAGAGCCCCCCCATCCCCCCTATCTGCAGAAATCCCTGGATGGGGGGTCTTAACAATACATTTCTCCTATTCTCAGGCACAGCCACATTTTGTTAGCTTTCTCCTTGGTAACACCACGCAAAGCACAAAAATAAATAAATACGTCGCCACACCCTTGGCACTGGAGGGCAGGAGGGCTGAGACTTGGTGACGGATAATATGTACAGGAGACAGTTATAGTCTTTTTTTCCCTTTTGCTCATCCTGGGCAAAGGCAAGGACAGGAGAGAGTAATTTTCATTATGCAGAGCGAGTGTGAAACTCCTCAGAGGCATGGATGCAGACAGCTGGAGATGCAAGGTGATCACTCTGGAAATTTATATCGAACGAAAGCAAAACAAATACAGACAGATGGGTAAGAAGGGAGGATGAAAGAAGAGTCGGGGCGTGTGGGGTCTGTCATGTGCTGGGGGGGTGTGTGAGGCCCTTTAGAAAAAGCTTCTCCTTGTCATCTTTTTCAACGCCGTCAGAACTGAGAGCGGGATCATGGCTGTTCAGGCACGTACACTTCCACATGTTCACACACGCCTCATTCGCACACACTCGCTCATGCCGCGGTCACACACACACACACACGCACACGCGCGCGCTCAGCGTGGGGATCAGCCCAGGATGTCCAGGTAGACTGGTGAGGCTTTGGCCAGGTTCTGCAGCATGGTGTGGATCTCCTTGATGTTGAGCCTGACGTGAGGCTCCCTCTGCCAGCAGCCCAGCATAAGGTCATACACCTCCTTCGGACAGGTACGGGGTCGCTGAAGGACCCGGCCCTGAGTGATGCACTCAATCACCTGCAGCCGGAGAGGGGACAGACTACAGCTCAGCTTTCAATCACTCCTTGCTTTGGTTCAGTCAAAAATAAGTTTGGAGGCAAAAAAAGCTGTTAGTGAACTTCCACTGGTTATAGATAGTCAGCCCTGTGACACTGACCTCATTGTTAGAGAGCTGGTACCAGGGTTGCTTGCCATAGGTGAAGATCTCCCACAGGACCACGCCCAGACTCCAGACATCGCTCTCGGTGGTGAACTTCCTGTACATGATGCTCTCCGGAGGCATCCAGCGGATAGGCAGCATGGTGTGACCGCCGACCTGCGGGTGCGAGAAAACGGCCACGTTTGCATGTTTCCAACCTCAAACACACACTTCAATGCAAACATTGCATGCAGGACAGGGGAAAACTACCTCCAAGATATATTCAATTGGCTGCATTCACTTTGTGTAACTATATGTTTTACTTTAGTCGCTCTTTACACTAGTGGCCAAAATTGTGGAAACACTTAAATTTTTAGAGATTGTATAACTTTATTCCAATTACTCCAGTTACTCAACAGATTAAAAGAAGCAAATACAGAAAGGTCCTGTGGTCAGTCAGATTTGGATCTTATTTTTTAAGATCCTGGGATTCAAGCAATTGAACTAGAGAATGAACGTGTCATCACAATTAAATGATTTCTTTATTTCTAAAAGGACTAAATTTTCCTGGCACCCATAAATAAAGCATCTCTCGCCTCTCCAGTCAATTGATACAAGTCTTTTAAATAAAATCTATTCATTAGCCTTCAGTGGCAGCTTCCTGCATTATCATATATAGTTGACCACAGATTTTTAGCAATCCAGATCTTCTCAATAGGGAGAGATGGTTTGGGGACCTTTGCTACAGCATGAGTTAACTGATCACTTTCTCTTTTAAAGGAATGTAATTTGTTTTAAATATTGATGCCTCCGTTTCATGCAAGGGGCCACAGCGTCTCAAAACTCATAAGAGTGGGGAGACCTATGATTAATTGTTGTAATGTTTCAGTCTCATAAAAAATTAAAAGCCAGGCTTTTAGGGTCTGTGAGACCCCTGATTGTTACAGTTTAGCTGTTTCAATGCAAGAAAGTACTGGAAGCATCCAGCCTCATGGGAGTGACATTGCTCATGAATATTCATACAGAGAAAAGCCACAGGCCCACTCTGACTTAACCCTAGTCGAGGAGCAAATGTAACTATGGGTCCAAAGGTGTGATACAGCTTAGCTGCAGGAAACCACAACTACAGGCTAAGTAGGGAAAACCAGTACCGCGGTCTTTGGGGAGCTAAGCCTGCTTTTTTTTTTTTTTTTTTTAAACAAACCAGCGTACCATGTGATGCGGATGAGGAGAAGAAGGCCCACAATTAGAGGGAGGTCTCTATAGTGTGTCAATCCACTGCCTCACTCCACAACAACAAAGCTTTCTCAATATCGTACTCTGCTGCCTTCGGTTGCTATGGGAACAGTGGCTCTTTGGGAGGATTACAGAATTTGCATTCAAATGGTAGTAAAAAATTATACTCTGACTGCAAAAGAAAACAGACTTTTTTGTGGGTTATTATGGGTTTTGCTTGAAAAGCGCAAGAAATAAGTAGTGACTGCCATTTATTTCCACTTTAAAATGGGCTTCACAGTTAAATCATTTAGGCTGTTAGTAAGTTCGGTCAGTTCTTACTGTTTGGCGTGATTAAAATTTCCCCCATGAAGTCAGAGAGAGCGACGGGTGCCAAGGGGACAGGACGGCCCCGATGGACACTATGAGGTGACGGGCAGCCACTGGTGCCCCCCGCCGGTGCCCCCCGGCTGGATCTGGCTGTGGTTGCGTGCCGTGCAGAGCCGACTGCTGCTCACCCAGGCGTTCAGGTCTGTTCGGATCTGGATCATCGTAACCTCTCTGGGTTAAGCAGCCATTAGCTCTGACTGAGACGCTCCTCCTGTGCCTCCGGCATTCAGCTGCACCTCCGCCTGCTCCATCCTTCTCCCCGTCAGCCTTCCCCACGCTGTGTCTTTCTCTCATCCCCTCATTGGTGCGTCGAGGCCTGGGCCTTTTCCCCGTCCACCTACTCAGCTCCCTCCCTCCCTCTCCACTGTCCTCACCTCCCCCCCCCCCCCCCCACTCTCTCTCTCGGAGTGAACGTGTGACACGGAGAGGCCCCTGAATCCGCCTCCTCTCACTCCCGGAGTGAGTGCTGGAGCTGCATACTAATCACAGCAGTTTCATGTGTCTCTTTTTTCTGGGAATTGTCTGATATGTTCCCAGCACTGCACAGCCCATGTCCGCTGCCATGGAAACAAGGCCTGTGAGTACAACCACCCCCCCACCGCGTGCTGTCTCGCCGAAGGGAGGGTCTGACGCGCTCATCACACACGGTCCAGATTCCGCTGAATCGGAGACGTCGTATTCTCAAGGTGCTATAGAAGTTTAAATAGATGCCATATTCTCCAATATGGCAAGGAAACCATGCTTAACCTAAGTAATATACTTTGCATCCTTCTGTTTGCTTAACAAACCTTAAACTGACAGATCAGGATCATTCTTGGTCTCTGGGTCAAGTCCAATTAGTGGGGAGCATCTGTGGGGGTCGGAGCCAGTTGGGGGGTATGTGTGGGTGGTGGTGCAGTGTCCCACAATAACATATTGGTGACCTGCGCACATAGCTGCCAGCAAACAGAAGCCCCCCCCCCCTCCCCTGGGATGGAGGTCATGTGAAAGCCAGCCCGTGGCAGTCAGACTGGGGGGCCAGAGTGCTGGCCACTGGTGTCCATGGGGACCCAGGAGAACGCCATGACTCCCCAGTAACGGCAAATGCTGTCTAAGCGACTGCTGAGGTCTGCTGGGTTTAAACATGCTGGGAAAAATAATAAACATAGGAAACGTAACTGGAAGAGCAGGAGTCTATATATTATTACATCCATTATATCTATTATACCCATTATACTATAGTAATGAGATGAGAATGGGAGTATAGATCCATCAAGACAGAAATCATCGTTTCTGATGAATATTAAATGCTGTGAGGCAGAGAGCTTATTTACTGTTTACAATTGAGAAAAATACTAAACACAAACCGATATTTAACATTCATTGGTATATCAGTAAAGCTATACTTTGCTGGAGATGGCTCGGTGGACATTGCTCCACATCTTGTGTAATGGTGGCTGCCACGTTCTCTGTCCCAGCCTGGCTTTCCACAGCGGCGGGTGGTGCGGGAGGTAGGAAGCGCTACTGGAGACCCAGAGCAGCCATCTTGACTCCCTGTAGGGAGAAACACTCCTACTTCCTTTGGTAAATGAGCTGAGCTGAACCCCCCCCCTGTTTGGGGAGGGATAAGAGTGTTGCATCTCTTTGGGTACAGGTTCCCCTAAATTAAAAGCACGTTGGGTTTCAATATGCGAGTCATAACGGCAGGGGTTTCAATTTAGGACGAAGCACCATTTAAGTTGGAGTCTGCATTCAGCAGAGTGACCTGGGGACAGGGCACTGTCGTGGTTGGTAGTTTTTCAAACACAAACCCACACTGGTGCCCACATCGGCCCATCATGGATGATAATCAATATGGGAGTCCATAGAGCCACATATCTACTCTCCACAGGCATAGATCTGCAGTGTGACCTCCCTGTCCTGCTCTCCTGTGCCCTTGCAGGCAGTCTAGCCTCATGTACCGGGACAGTGGAGGCTCACATGTCATCTAAAGGACTGGGGGGGGGGTGGGGGAAAAGGTGGGAAAAGACAGTGACACATACACTTACCCGGTAGTAGTCAGTGCTGTAGACGTCCCTGGACATGCCAAAATCGCCAATCTTCACCAGCAGGTTCTCGCCCACCAGGCAGTTGCGTGTGGCCAGGTCACGGTGCACAAAGTGCTGAGAGGCCAGGTAGACCATGCCGGCGGCGATCTGCTGGGCAATGTGCAGCATCTGCGACAGGCTCAGCTCCACCGGCCGATTGTTCTGCCCATCCGCCATCAGCACAGCGTCCGGCCCGTGGGCCCTAAGGAGGCATAGAGAATGACCATGGAACCTTGAATACTCACACTGAACACTGAGAAATATGGTGAACATTTACACTGAACACTGAGATATACAGTGAATACTCACACTGAACACTGAGATATACGGTGAACAGTCAACATTGAGATATATGATGAACACACACTGAACATTGAGATATATGATGAACACACACTGAACATTGAGATATATGGTGAACACTCACACTGAGCACTGAGATATGTGATGAACACTCACAGGTTAGCTAGCCTGTTTAAATGCAAAAAGAAAACCTCACTATACTATATATATATTATCACATATCACATAATTATTTGATTGGGATGGTTAGAAATACAGTATACACTTGGAAGCAGAAACAGATTTGGAGAGTAACTTCTTTGTTTGTGAATTCAATGACCTCTTTATCACCAAAACAATTTTCAATCATCTTTACGCCTGATGGAATTCACAGATATCAAATACACTACATTTTTAGGGCCAAACAATGATAGAGCTCAATTCAAATAGCAAATGCTTAACCTGGAGAGGAGTGTTGAAAAGATCATAAACTACGCGAACACAGGCTCCAATTGAAGCGGAAAAGGAACAAGGACATCATGCAACTTCCAAGAAATGGAACTATAGAATGTGCCTGTTACCTACAAAGAAAACATTTAAGATACTGAACCTGGATGACAGAGAAGCAGATGGTGGACAGACTTAAAATAAGTCATCCAAAATGATATGAGAAAAAAAAAACTTCAAAAAAGGAAGAACCAAAGAAGTCAAAACTGATGACAGAGGGCACGGTGGAAATTGCAAAGGAAAGAGAAGCCAAAATCAGGAAAGACAACAATCTCTTGAAAGTACTGAATTGTACATTCTAGAACGTTACCAGGAAAAACGAAGACCGACTTTACAACATCTGCAAAATCATTGAAGAAGGAAATAAACATGGGAAAATTACTTTTCAGAAGATTCATGAGGATAATAATAAGTTACAAACACAAGTGGGAATGCTGAAGGGCATCGACAGGTAAATCATAGCTGACAGAACAAAGATGAAGCAGATTCAGAAGGAATTCACAGAAGACTGATACAGCAAAGACATGGAAGAAGGTTCAGCGACAGAGGAAGAGGCCAGATTTATGACATCCAGATAGAACTACTACAAGCAACCGAAGTAAAGTCAATCAAACTAATGCCCAAATTATGCCAACAAATTAGGAAAACAACTCAACGGCTGTAGTTAAGAAGAGATCAGCTTATATCCAAATACCAAAGAGAGGAGACCGGGACAGAGAATGTAAACTATCGTAAAGTTTCATATATATCACATAGGTGAATTATTATGCTAAATATCAGGCAAGACCAAGAAACAAGAGGCATCATAGCTCATACACAATGGATAACTGAGAAAACACAAGACATATAAGGTCAACATATGCTTTACTGATTTAACCTATGTCTTCAATTGTGTTGACCATGTCAAACTGTGTATTGTTGGTTGTACCAACAAATCTTAGTGTCCCACACTGGACAATAAGCCACAGTTAAGTCTAAAGAAGAAGTGGCTTCATATTGGTTAAGGAGTCAGAGAAGGATGCGTGTTATTCGCTATTCAACTTGTACACAAAACATACGATGGGAGGAGTTGGCTGGAGGAGGACAAGATGGCTACTAACACCTTTGAGCTTTGCGTTGGTGAAGACTTTTAAAAATGGCATATAACTCAAGAAAAACAAAGAACCGCATTGCTGATCAGATGAAACCTGACCTTTCACTTTAAGACACAAATGACTGAATTGCAGCTGTCTTATTTTGGGTATATTATGTGAAGGTCCAGTACTTTGAAAAAGACCATGATGCTTAGAAAAGTTGAACTTAAAGCAATAATGGGGTAACCAGCAACAAGATGGATAGAGTCAATTTTCACAGCAATGAACATGCTTTTGGAAAGCCTGAAGATATGGATAGAAGACAGAAAGTTCTGCAGGGGTGCTGTCTACATGCTTAGCGGGAATAATGAATCATCTGCTATATAATTCTATTTGCCAGTTATTTGTTCTTAATTCCATACATTTCAATTCATGCTGTACCATTAATTAGAATGTTTTTCCAGCACTGCTCTGACGCACATTTACCTCTAACCCATGATTCCTAGAATACCATTAAGGGAACATCCAAGTGACCGGTAATTAAGACAAACACAACTTATCGGCAAACAGCAGTGGTGCCCAGGAACACAACCTATCAAACATGGAGAATCTCGTGACTTTGCACCGACGGCAAACAAACAGGAAGCTGTGATGTTAAAAACACCGGGATCAGACATCTGGGGTCATTTTGGACATTTGTCTAACCTCTGAAACCTTCTGACAGGTGCAGGTGTGCAACGCTGCCCCCCATAGCTGCCCAAAGAGCCAAGAAACCCATAGTGCTGCTCACCTGAGGAACTTGTTGAGGTCTCCATGCTTCATGTACTCAAAGACCATGATAAGCGGGTCGCCCTCAACGCACACGCCGTAGAACGTGACGATGTGCTCATGCTGCAGGTTCGTCAGGAGCTCAGCCTCTCGGTGGAAGTCCTTGCGGGCATTCTCGCTGGCCTCTTTCAGAGTCTGCATGGTGACAAATGTGACAGACACGCTCCACTGATGGACCTTAACCAAAAACCCTCAGCCAAGAAAAAGCGTGTAGCATGGACAACTGGGCAGGCTGATGGTCCAGGCACCGGCCACAGCAAATCCAGAGTAGTCTCAGGACGAGACAACAGTGCTGTCCGTGTCATGTCCGACCAATAGAAAGTAGGATAGAAAAATGAGTTACATTTGACATGTTTTTCAGCTGCTTTAATTGTATGTCCCTTTTCCCATTCGAATCGATAGTTTAGACCAGTGTTGCCAAAGGGCCAGAATCCAACACATTTTCAGATTTCTCTGCTCAAACACTGTTAATCAACTAAGTACCAGGTGTAGTAGATGTGTCTGAGCAGAGAAATCTGCACACTGTGTTGCAAACTGGCCCTCTGGCACCTAAATTGGGGAACCCTGGTTTAGGTGAATAAGGTGCACGGATAAGGACCTTCTGAAATACTCATTCAAAAAATTTTTACTTTAAAAGAAATCTCACAGTGATACATTTATTTCTTCTGTCTTTTTGCTTCAACACTAAATTTAAAGGAAAGCTTCATTGCTGCAAAAGGCTATACGTCTTGGGTTTGCATGTTTTGTTCCTATCAATTAGTATGTATTGCATCACTTTAACTAGGAAAAAACAGATCTGGCTGTTTTCAGACAAAATATGACACAACAATAACATTTCTTAAATTATGAAAATGTAGGACATGTTGTGTAATTATTTTTATTTGACTGTGTAAAATCCTCAGAAAATTGAAGATAAATAAGCTCCTTGATCAGATTTTGTGAACAAGCAAGAAGCAGACACTTTCATCTCTTGGTAGTGGCACGTTTCTCTAAGAAGGTCGTCCAAATGACCTCCAGATGAGGTTACGGCCTGGCCTATCTGGCACCATCCCAGATGAAAGGGGAAGGACAGCTGCCCAGCTGCTGCGTGCACAGCGACACCCCCGGGGCACAGTGCCGCTGGTCGCCGTTTAGAGGCTCTAACTGACCACAGCTGCGTTGCATCAGACCGCAGGGAGAATGGGGAGGAAGTCCACAGCAGCCCTGCACACTGAGTTACAACTGAGCATTATCTGCTGCCACCATGCCCTTATACCTAAACCATATCGCTGTGACAGTTCAGCATCCCATCCAGGGTGTCCCCTGCCTAGTGCCCCTTGCTGCCAGCGATAGACGCTAGGGACCCCATCACCTTGTACTATAGAAGTTCAGCTGAATACATTGTTCCAAGTTGGATGGGTCTCTAACTAAACACAAAGCTACACCGTTAACTAAAATAAAAGTACAATGCCTCCCATATATACAAAAATAAATGTATAGTACTCTGTAAAAGTCGTAGGCAGCCAAAGGAAATGTTTAAGTGTTTCTTTTTCTGGATATCACGTGTGTATTTTCTCAAAAAAAAAAACCCCACAAATTTAACACTAGAACATATGGAAATGAACAGTAATAGAATAAAAAAATAAACCAGAATTTCTTGTTCTCCAAAACGTTACTGTTATCTTGTTGGGTAACACATTACCTGTACATTTACTGCACCTTCATAATGCATTCATTATGCATTCATAGAACATTCATAAGCAGGAAATAAGTATACATTAACATCCCAACATACCTTAACATACATTAATTAATAAACACTACATGATTGTACGATTATAACGTTTGTTACTACCATGTATGTTTGTTATTAATGTATATTAAAGCTGTTAAGGTATGTTAGGATGTTATGGTATACTTACATCCTGCTTATGAATGTTCTATGAATGCGTTATAAAGGCATTATGAAGGTGCAGCTAATGTAAAGCATTACCTCTTGTTGGATACCTTGGATTCCCAAGCCTCTCCTCTGGAGAACACCAGCCATTTCATATATTCCCTAAATTTCCCTGCCAGCTCTCTTAATAATTCATCTTAATTAGTTAAATAACTCACTGAAGTATTGATTAATCAAGCAAGGTGGGGATAGTGGTCGAGTCAGAAATACAAGGGTGTATTGTACGGCTGCTGCAAATGCTGGGGTGACTTTAGGAGAGGTTTTTAAAGGACTAGGCTGACACACTTTGGCATACATCATAGCTTTACACCAACATGAATATCATTTAAGCATCATTTTTTTTTGAGTGCCTGAGACTTTTGCACAGCACCGCATGTATAATAATCTGACTTACATAATGCACCAGAAACTCTCCCATGAAGCATCGCATGTGCACGACTGATTAAGTTCCCCTGATCAATATATGGTGCATTTCATACAATGTCATTCCTATCATTAGTCGGGTCCTCTTACAAAGGATGCCACTTTGCTTTTAGACCTGCAGCAGTCTTGTATGCAACCTAAGCCTTTATGAAATATTGAGATATGTGGGGGGGGGACGGATTCGAGGAATTCGCAATGCAGAGATAAATAAATAGCAGAATATGATACGGACAGTAGGTCTGGCGAGAGCATGGGGCATGTGACCATTAGTGTGTGGGCGCTGGGATGAGTGAAGCACACGGGGGCCACGGAGTCGCATCAATGGCAACAGCAGGTTAGCTGCGCGTGCATCGATTGCGGCGTTCCACCGAGATCGCATATTGCGATTCACGGGACCCGTCTGACTTTGCATGCATTTTTAATAAAACCCGAATCTTTACTGATATGCCATTTTGCGGCTGGTCACCCGTACTGGGTCTCAGGGCTGCCCCAGCTGGAATCATGGTTGTTTCCTGGTT